TTTTGATTAATTATGATTGATTGAATGATTGCATATTGTTTAACGTCCCATTCGAGAATTTTCCACACATATTGACACGTCAATGTATGCCAGTGAAGGGTTTGAAATTTAGACCTACACTCGGCACTCAGCGCCACTGAGCAGTGAGTGTTCTTTAAAGTGCCAAGGCCTATTGTGACACGGGACCTCGGTTTTTAAGGTCTTATCCGAAAGACCCTTAACTTTCACTTCTTGTGCCGGGCGCTTGGCGAAGGAACAGTCACGACCTATGTATACGTCTTAAGTTTGAAGCGGCGCAGCGAACGAGAATCGAACCCGGGCCTCCCGATCACGAAGAGAGCGTTGAACCATTATAAATAATGATTGAAGCAAAACCATGTCTAATTCAAATTCAAAATGTTAATTTAATGAAACCCATCATCTCAAGGTCGAATCTTTTCGCCCAGTAACGTTTTTATGGGTATCATCACAATGTTTCTTATGGGTTTTTAAGCTTACTGATGCCAATTATATATGATGTCCATTCTGGATCGTTTAAGACATTTTCTATTAAATTTTGGCAACACATGCAACGTTGATAAAAGTTGTTCTAGTTGAACAAACAAAATGAATATTCAATTCTCAGACAGAAAAAAATCCCTCAGTATTTTGTACAGAGTGTTCTGTAGAGAAAAACTAGGTAAGATACCAGTGTTCAGTGCCTAACTGTCCAGAATGCTTCTTTGAGTAGTGATTTTATATAGTGTGCATATATTGATAAAACAAAAAAAAAATACTGTCAAGTTCATTACAGCTATTATCAACATCTCTAACTGCCGTGTTTGTTTCACGTTGGTATAGCTATCTAGCAATTGCAAAGTTCCGAAAATATAAATGATGTGTAAATATGTCTCCATGTTTTTCTGAAATTGTGTAATTTATGTCAAAATATACTTTAAAAGCACTCTGATGAAATTTGTTTGAACAAGAACAGACAATGCTTAATATTGAACAGTTTTGGTTTGTTTTTTCCACTTTAGATTAAAAGTCATTATATTCTGCAAAAATGAAAATTGTAGATTTAATATTTAAAGTCAAATGACATAACATATTGATTTCTTAAAAGGATTCTGTTACAGAATGTTTGAACAATTAGATATTATTACCTTACCTTATGAATACATGTAAACGTGGAAAAAATAAAAACGTAGAGATGTTACATACAGGGTGTCCCAGAATATATGATACCATTTCAAGATTCTGTAAAACCTAATTTAATGAATATTGAATTACAACAAATGCATCATAAACATTGTATATACTGTCCAATTTTATTCACCTAATTTGACAGTCATTAAAAAGAAAATAACAAAATGAATTCACTTTCAAAAATGATATGGTTTTTAAATGATGCCCTCTAAATGACGTTCTATCTGTGTAATGAGAAATTCTAGACATTGCACAAAATTCTTTAACTTGAGACAACAGGGCCTGCCTCGGTAGTAACTTCTGGATTTTTATCAGAGGTAAGCCCTTTATAAATGTTAAGGATTCTGGTTTGGGTTTAGCAGCAGTAACCTAAGATTAGGATTGATAATTACAGTTTCAAAATGAGGATAGCTAGCTCTTTTCATAATCCATTTTGACTGATTTTGCAGTTTTTGCAAAAGTTTCATGTAAATTTGTTACGTTGCAATTTCATAAGTGTGAGATTTTTTTGGACTATTTTGTTGCTATAAAATTGTACTTAATCAAATATTTTTCCAGACATATATCAAAGAAATTGGCCAAAGTATGTGTTTGGGGCAGGTATTTCAAATGGTATCATATATTTTGGGACACCCTGTATATGGTACCAAATGAAATAGCGTCAGATTCCTTTGTTCGTGTTATTGACACTGAGGGCAAGGTTATTCAAAGTATGAGAAATTAATCTCTTTTTATATTTATTTTTTTTTCTTTCAACATATATAACAGATCTTTGCTTCTTCAATCGACACTTTAAAATCTATCTCAGAATAAACTTTCACAACCCCTTAAGGACTTCTGAATTTTGCACGATAAACTTTGTTATTGCTACTCCTCCGAAACCGCAAACCATAGCGACATGAAATCTTCACGATTCTCTCCTTTTACTTTAGGTTATTCTCCAGTCTATCTATTGCAAAAAAGATTCATGGAACCCTTCTGACATGTATTGCCCCTGAATATGTTGAACTTTCGTAATCAAAGCATAATGTCTTAACAATGAATCACAAAAATATGGGACTGCCTGCAACTGGGACCCTTGACCTTTAAGATTGAAATTTGGTCAAGGTCAAAGATCAAGCTTAAGATCCTGCTGTTTAGGTCACACAGCCATGTGAGACCTGAATTTTGACATTTGAAAGTTATTCACAGGTCATGAGGATAATAAAAGGATGCGTTTAGATCCAGCTTTCGTTTTATTTCCTTCAAGCAAGCAATTTTCTTTAATTATTCTTAAACTTTGAACAATTGACCTATGACCCAAGGGTCAAGACAGGCTTAGGAAAATATACATAAACGTATCTCTCAGCTTATGACACGATAGGAATAAAATGCTTTGAATTTAAGAAAATTGTCTGTATTTGTAATGGGGGGGGGGGGGCAGAACAAAAGCAATGTAGAAAATGCCACATTTCACGTTTTATTTGCCATGGACCGGTCACGTAGCCTAGTGGTAGGGCGCTCGCTTCGTGATGGGGAGGCCCGGATTCAGTTCTCGTTCGCCGCGCCGCGTCAAACCTAAGAAGTAAACATAGGTAGTGACTGTTCCTTCGCTAAGCGTTCGGCACTAAAAGTGAAAATCGCGGGTCTTACGGATGAGACCTTAGAAACCGAAGTCCCCTGTCATGGTAGTTGTTGGCACGATAAAGAACCTTCTCTGCTCAATGGCCCTGAGTGCCGAGTAAAGGTATAAATTTGAAGCCTTTCACCGGCAGACAGTGACGTCTTTATATGAGTGAAAAATTCTCAAAAGGGACGCTAAACACCATACAATCAATAAATGTTTGCCAAAATTTTCTTCTTAAAATGCATTTTATTTATTTAAGTTGCATTTACTTTACCCCACGCAAAAGCTTGTTTCAATCTAGAGTCTCCTTTCCGAATCTTCAAAACACTAGGTCTACAATCCGGTTTTAAGTCCAATCTATGTTGTTCTAAATGACCGCTTACGTACCAACCAGCCTTGACTCATTTTTTAACTTTATCAAAACATTGAACACCTCAAATTAATCCTTCAATTTTTAACGCACCACAAATAGAGATTTATACAGTGAAACACCTCAGATATTGTAATATAATTCAACTTTCCTTACTTTCATCTAATGTGTTTCTAAGGGGAATTTTTTCTGTTTATTTTCCGATGAATGTAATGCCATTTTTAGTAACCGAACTACCATTCATTATTTATTTGATATAATTATTGTCAGTGTTTATTATTTCAATAATTAAAGGAACGCGACTATGTTATAAACTAATACTCTCTAAAACGTATGACAATGTTCTTTTCATGATTTCAATTCAGCTTCTGTAAATCTTTTGTTTCTCTCCGTGTGCTTTAAAGGAAATATTTTAATCATATGTTTCTATTTTTAAATTATACATAAAAATTCTTGTTGAGTAGAGAAAAGAAAAAAATTCAAATAACTTATTAAACGAGGTAATTGTTATCAATGGGTAATGCCGGGGATGGCAAGGGATATAACTCTGTAAAGAAGCACGTGTTTTGCGTTTTTTATTTGTAAAGAAAGAATTTAATTGAATTTAGTACAAATTGAAAACCAAACTAGAAAAAAAATTATGTAGGTTATAAAAATTAAATGATAAGAAGGACCTTAGACTAAGTTTTCCTGATGTGATTGTAATTATCACATTCTCAAGTATTTCGTCTGCACATCAACTTTATACAGGGTATATTAACCATGTTATTTGTCAATCAAGCTGTACGTGTATTAAGGTGTATCGACAAGCAAGTTTATTTCTATATATTTTTTAACCTGAAGAAATATCTTACTAATATTCCATTGCATTCCACTCGACGTGTTACCATTGACCGTTTGCTTACTGACAACAAACCAAATTTCTGCCTGCTTTATTAGTAATCGCATTTAAAAATTTGCACGTGCAAATTTTCATAACTTATGTATTCGGTAACTTAGTAAATCATTGTAATGACAATAAAACATAACGGGGAATTCTTTATTTTTATAACATTTAACACAAAATTATATATATTGTATACTACAGGCTTTTAGATCCGCTCCCAAGAATCGTGTAATTTTCCAATCGATATATTTCTTCGCTGCTGTCGGCATGTAAATTTCGTGCACAATTTTTTGAGTCAGGTAAATAATGAGTATGTACATGCTTTCATAAAGTGTGCGATTCGTTTTCTAGATTCATTTCTCGATGAACAAAATAATTTATATAGTCAATCCTGTGATATCAAGTATATTTTATCTGATTTATTTATATTCTTGCATTTTTTTCTCTCTTTTTTTTTTCTACCAAAATGATTTGGAAACACTCAAGAAGGTGAAAAGGACCAAAATTCTTCACTTAACAATTAGTCTGCCACTAAATAATGCATATATTACAGGTTATCAACTGAGATTTACACATTACTAGAAAACCATCGTCAACTGACGCATCAGCAGAGATTGATACTCTGTCATTTAAACTGTTACCTTCCAAAATGCACTATTTTTTGCACAGAATGTCTGATTGGCAGCTAAACACCAACAAAACTGTTGGGCGATCAAAGCTGTCAAATAAAGTAAAACACAATTAAAAGAAAAATCCTTAACAGTCTAAAGTATCTCGTCTTATCCAAAGTTTCCAAAGTGATAACTTCTCTCTTACATGCAGATAATTTTCATAAATTTATTCCTAACATGAATTTGCTAAAATCAGGATCATTATAACCATGCTTTTCTTTTCATATTCACATCAAAAGATAAATTCTTTTTTTCTAACAATATTTTAGATGAAATTTTTATTCAAGAACACTTTCCCTTAATCAATGTTTACATATAAGTGAATTATAATTGCATAGTTCCATTGGATACAGTGCTCCTCTTTCTATGCATAGATCTTGTATGGTGACATTGGACTTTTGGAAAGACAAATCCTTTTTTTCCTAATCATTGGGTTAAAATGTAAAACATTTCATTTGTTGTATGAGCAGAATTGCTGTAAAAACATCGACATATTTCTGTTATCAATAATATGGTATGGATGTCTTTTTTCATTTAAAGGGAAATTACTTTAAAGGACGTCTATTTGGAGATTTAAAAAAAATTTCTTTAATCCTTTGATTAAAACAGATAAAGTCATATACTAATGTAACACCATACTTTATCACAAGCATGAAAAGATGCGATAAATTTCACACATGTAATGAAAATTACTTAAAGGGCCCGCGTCTCGAAAAGTGAAGTCGTCTGCACTGCGAGATCTTATGTGAATCTCCCCAGCTCCGTTAGTCTCACTGATGGTCAGAATTTCTGGCATCAATGAACCATCATGGAATCTCCACTCACTTCCGGTCTTTACTCCCTGGACCCAAATTTGGATAGAAGAAGAATCTGTATACTGCGCTAAGAAAAGAAGAAGGGACTTAAGTTAATAATTGTAATATTTAGTCTGTTCAGTCTCCTTTTATTCAAGTGCATAATTCCCTATCCCTATTTTAGGAATTTTGTGCTTTATTATTTATTATTATGTCAGATGTTGAGCTTAATATGAAAAGGAGGACCTTAACACTTTATCAGAATGGATAAAATGTTCTAGAAATATAATAAGAATCTAATAAGAAAATTAAAAGGCAAAACGAGAACCACCTATTCCTCAGTTTTCACTAAATCGGAGGTGATAAAAGAGTTAGAGAGACTATAAGAATTTTATGTTATGGTTCCAGCAGACAAGGCTCATTATTATAACTGTATTCTGGAAGAACTTGGTTTTATTTCCACGTCTAGAAATCCTACATGTACTCGCAGTTCATTTTCAAGGGAAGAAATTTTTCAAAATCACACTTCAGTGTTTCATACTTTTAACATTCCACTTAACCAAGCTGAATTAGATCCATTCTACCAATATACACTGGATTCAGAAACTTCATAAAAAACCTACAAAGAAAGATACATTGCTGGGTCCAACAAATGTTGTACCAAGGTCCTATCTTTACTCCTCACCAAAATATTAACTGCTGTTTAGGAGAAACTTTAGACGTACTGTGCTAGAAGTGGTGTAAATCAGATGTGGATCCTCAAAACTCCCAGATAAAAGATCTTTTTCAAAAATTTAAAATTATCAAATTTTTCAAGTCTTTAACATAACTTTATAAGTTGTATAAAGTGTAGAAAAGTCTTTTACAAGCTTCTACATGAAAAGAAGAAAACACTTGCCGTTGCCTTCAACTCGACATTCAGATACTGTCAACGTACTTTATTTCACGGGGTCATAATTCCGCGGAATTACAATTCCTGTACAGTCCCCGAGTATAGTCTTCACTTCTATATCCATTCGAAATAAACAGGGAATTATACTTAACCAGATAAGCTGAAACTTGAATAAACTTTAATCTACATTATGTTTGGAAGATTTCGTACAAGTTTCAACTCTTCTGGCCCGGTTGTTCTTGAGAAGACGATTTTGAAATGACCCCAACCTATGTTTACCTTCTCTTGACTGTCATGGAAAGGAGAAATGTCTTTCATTTGACAAGACAATAGGAAACTTTGTTGCAAGTTTGATTAAAATTGGTGCAGTAGTTCTTAGAATGTAGTTGAAAATGTAAAGTTTAAGCACGACGCACTACCGCGCGACAACGGACAAAAACAGATAGCAGATGGTCACCCGAGTGACTCAGGTGACCGAAGAAAGGTGTTAGCCTTCGCATAAAAGGTCATGATATCTAGTTCATCTTGTGAACGTTTTTTTTTTTCTGTTTTAAATTCTTTTTCCTTTTTATTTTCATGGGCCGGGTTAACAAATTAACATATGTGTAAATCCTACATTTATAATTGGCGTGATGAAATCGTTTAAAGACAGTTTAAAGACATTTAGACATTTAGCACCTATAAGTCTGGATTGATGGCGGCTTAAAGACGTCTAGAAGTCAATTTCAAGCACCTATAATCCATCTTTAAGACACCTTTATGTTATCTTTAATAACCCTTTAAAGTGTTGGAGATGGTTTAATGGTACCTTAATGATGGTGTATAAGTATAAGGGTGCTAAAAGTTGACTTGAAGACAATCTTTATTTTATCTTGAAGCACCTTTAAGCCGTCTTTGAACCAAGTTTAAAAGAAATGTTTCATTTTGTGTTTTTTTTTCTTGGTGAAATTCCAATTTTCAGTTGAAAAATAAATTAAACAAAAATATAATGAATTTTGGTCTTATACAATTACAGGTACACCATCATATTTTTTTTATTTGAAGTTTTTCATACTTACCAGAATGATTCCTAAATATGTTGTATTTCTCAATTGAGTCAAGTTTAATGAGATCTCCACCGTCTGTCAAACAACTTATAACAGCTTCTGGATAGGATTTAGGGGCAGGAACATACTTTAAACAAATCCCTATATGGGTATAGTCATACATCGTATATCCGGAAGGGCAGTTGGCTTTAAAAGATTAGGTCAGTATTAACAAAAACAAGAAAACTCACTCACATAGTAACTTCCGCTTTAAATCATTACAATGTATTCCACTAACATTATCAAATTCTATGGTCGATTTGAGTATTCCAGGTATTATGTCTTCGTTATTGAAGATAATGTGAATTGCTTTTAATCAAATAAAACAAAGTACTTACACCAGAGCACTGTATCTAAATTGATAATATATGATTTGAAAATTACTTGTTAGAATTGTTGACTGGTATACTTTGACGTATGGTTCTACTTACAAGGCTTGAATGTTTTCCAATGTATGCCGTTCAAGTCATTTCCAGGAGGTCTACTGCAGCATGCACACTGTTTATCATAGTTGTTATAACTGATCATGTATAAATTCTCATGATTAATGAGGCATGTTTGAAAACACCTAGAAATAATGTTTACATTTTTCTTGTACGGTACACAAGTCGTCGTTGGATTCTCAGCAACATTCACTGTGTAATTGCAGCAATGATCATTCTGTAACGTTGTTCTTATAACCAAGTTTAAAATCATAAAACGCAACATTTTTGAAGTTCGAAGCATTCCGATTTCTTTTCAGCTTGGTACAGTGCTTGTCAGTGACAGACACACAGCAAAGTAAATCCCAATTTTTTTGAAGTTTTTTTTTGCGTTCTCAAAATCAATTTTATCTAGAAGCTATGTAAGGATTGCTGGGATTATTTTTCTTCCTTTTTAACTTGGTCCTTGAAAATTGAATAACAAAATAGTATCGCCCTCCCTTTGAAAGAGTGCATCAATTATTTTGATAAAGAAAGAAAAGTGTGTTTCCATTTTGGAAAGTAAAACAAAAATGTGCAAAAGTACGAACATACAAGGTTAAGTCTGTTTTAGACAGGAAATAAACATTGAATATAAAAACTCATTGATTCTCTTTTTGTTAATAAATGCTTGATAGTTACTTTTTATGAGATATTGGTATTCGATGTCATGGAAAATATTAAGTGTTTTACTTTTTAAATGATTACAGATCGCTAGAGTCATATTTCATTGTTAAATTTCTATGCATGAAATAAAAAAAATGAATACGTGTAATAGAAGAACTGAAAGGCGGCATTCATTTCATGAATTTCAAAGACTGAATGGTACTGAATTGTTGATGAATTTCAGTATATCTTCCATTCCTGTTCAGTAACATTATAGTGATCATAAATAGAAAACACTTCAGTTTCTTTCTGTGGAATCTGTCTGATATGTACGTGACCTTTCAGTCGCCTTTCAGCAAACATTTATCGGTTGATACTTTTCAGTGGTCATTCAAAAATGTGATCGTTCAGTGAAATTTCAGTTACCTTGTACATTGGACAACTGAGTAAATTGCTTTCCGTTATCATAATTCTTGCAATAATATTCAGGCTGTAAAAAGCTTATCATATAAGTAGGTTTGTTTGTTGATATTCAGAGTTTTAAATAATTCATGTCTAAATCCACTGTCACATTCTTGATAAAGAATAACTAATACGAGGACAGAAGAATTGCAAAAAGTGCGTTAAACACACAGCTATAACTCAATATATTTTTGAGGAAAGAGAGAAATAAGATTTTGATCACCATAATGTTGACCTTAAACTAAGCATTTTGATATATCGACGACGCATTATCAATTAACAAAAGTTTCTGCAATTTATACGTATACTCGATCCCAGTGAACTTGAAATAAAAGATACCACAGAGTCTGTTTCATACTTGGAAATTTCACTAGATTAAGACGTTATAATGGTAACCTTATAACAAAACTTTATGATTAACGTGATGACTTCAATTTTTCTATCTTCAACTACCTTTACTTAAGTAGCGATATACCCTTATCACCTGCATATGGGGTTCATATCTCCCATTTGATTCGATATGCAAGAGCATTTTCGAAAACAACTGAAAAACAATTTGATGAGACAAGAAAAAACAATTTGATGAGACAAGAAAATCCACAGTCTCGTTTACAATCATCACTTCGCAAGTTTGGTTGATACAAGGACCTTGTCTGCAAATACAATATATCATTAAGTCGCATTCTGACTGACGATTTTCATAATAATTTTTAGGCCATTGTTTACACATTGAATTGTCTACACATTTTTTCCGTTTCCCCAATCATGACTAGGAGCACTAGGCGGGTGTGACCGGTCGGCAGGGAATGCTTACTCCTCCATGGCACCTGATCCCACCTGTGATGTTTTTAGAGATCTTTGCCTGCTCAGTTCCTAATTTGTATTTTTTCTTTGGATTTTTGTGTTTGATAACTGTTCGGTATTTCCATATTTGATCACACAGGAAATGCATACTTTCACAACAAACAGAAGAAATTCAAGCTATAATGTTCCTCAAACAAAGTTTTGGAACATATTTTTTTTTTACTTTGTTTCTTATTTTTTCTTCGATACTATTTTGTCCGCGGGTGTTCTTGGATACTACTCATCTGATTAAGATAAAGCCCTCTTAAGATTAATAGCTTTGGGTAGATGTTCAGAACTAAGGTCATGCTTTACGCACATACATGCACGTGGGATGAGTGAAATGACTTGTATACTTGAAATAACTTACTGACATATTTTTATGAATGACTTAAAAATAGCACATAAACATATATAAGTAGTCATGACAGGATGTCATGGTTGAATTAACACGGTGTGTTCTGATTGATTGGGATAGAAATGTCACTTCCTTATTTTTTGGGAAAAAAAATTATGAAATTTGAAATATAAGTACATATGAGGTTCTACAAGATGGCATATATGCTTTTTCTGAAGAAAAAAAAAAGCATGCACATACGCTGTAATTTCATTGGCAGAAAACTTAAATGACATTAACCTTCTTAGTTTTCTTCAAAATAGGAAGATATTTAGAATATAGATATCTATTATGTTTTCCTAAATTGAGTTTTTTTTTTTAAAACTGAGAGCGTCTGCTGATTTAGATTGGCTAATACTTAAATGACTGTATCTCTAGTATTTTTCAATGAAATTCTATGTTATTTGATATTATTTTAATAATTTGCAATAAATGGCCATGACAAGCACGCCAAACAATCAATACTGTTTTCTCATAAATACTAGTATGCAGAAAAATTAAATTGTATGTCAGGATTTATTGCCATCCATGCATGTACACCTGGATTTACATGACATTATATATTTACAAGCATTTACAGTCCAATATGTATTTAGGTATTTTATTTATAGTCTCGAAATTATCATAATGCGTATTGAATAATATAAGTTTCTGCCAACTGTCTCAAAATAGATTTCTTTCTTGCAACCACGGATTTTTTTTTAAAATCAGGATTGCCCTCCAAAACCATTTCTAGCAATAATGCATCTATTTATTGAAAAGTTAGTGATTTTGCAACTTTTCTTACAGAAAATATAATTGTGTAAACAATGTAGGCTATGTCTTCTGTACGATATAGAGGATTACGTAATTTTGATAGAGGGTTGTTGTGAGAGAAATCGATGATGCATGGGAAGACGAAATCAATGCATTTTAATGGTGTCCAGAATTTAGGGAATGCAATAGAGAATATATATATATATATATATATATATATATATATATATATATATATATATATATATATATATATATATATATATATATATATATATGACTGCCGTCATGAGAAAAGGGCCCTTATCTTTTGACGTCACAATGCTCAGAAAACGACGTCGAAGTCGCAGTGTTGTGAACACGGAAGTAATTTTTGTCGACAGTGTTTCGTGAACAAGAAATAAAATTGGATTTCCAGGTGAAATGAAAAAAAAAATATATGAAAACTGATGCTGAAATTTGTAATAAATAATATTATTACTATTAAGTACATGAATTTATTCATAATTCTGTTTATTATTATAAAAAAATATATATGAAAACTGATGCTGAAATTTGTAATAAATAATATTATTACTATTAAGTACATGTATTTATTCATAATTCTGTTTATTATTAAGCATTTTACTTGATATGATCGCATAATTAATCTAAACACGACATTGAACACATTGTTCAATACAGCGATTTATAGCGATGTCTATATACTATGCATGACTCAAAATACTGTTTATTTGTTTTCTGAGCTATTTTCAAATACATAAATTTGACTCATGTGAATGAGACTTATTATTAAAAGGAACTCTACATGCACGTAAATAGTTTTTGTCCAGAGAGAGAGAGAGAGAGAAAAAAAGAGAGAGATAAATGCACATATACTCATACTTTTTTAGTGCTTCTTAATTTAAAAATTCCTTCATTTAAAAGTCTTTATTTAAATTTTAATCCATATAGTTAATCATATTGATATGCACAATTAGACCAGAGAAGGTTGAAGCGTCGATGTGTGTGTGTGGGGGTGGGTGGGGGGGGGGGAGATTATTGACAAACCAAAAAAATTAAAAAAATAAATAAATAAATCGACGAATAAAAAGACAACCGGTAAAAGTTCAAACTAAAAAAAGAGAACATCTTGTTTTGGATATAGAAACTTGTAACATGGGATATTCGAACCTTTATGAACAACAAAAAATGAAAAGAGGTGGATTGTATAAATGTTATATAAAAAAATCTATACAAAATTAACAACAAAAGAATATGCTTAGGAAAAAAATGGAGAAAACGGTGCCACGAAAATTTTGCTAAAAATATAATTAAAAAAAAATAATGAAATGATCAAATAAATGTATAAAAAAAAGTACTCTCTGATAACAATTACTTTATCAATTTTCTTAAATTATTCCGATGAAAGCTGGCTTGAAGTTAAATTGCGCTTGATTTAGGAATTTTATCAAAATACATTTAATTTGGGCTTTTCCATGAGCATTATACTCAACACTGAAGAAAACAAGAAAACATTGATGTAACCATCAATTGTCGCCCGGGAAATAAATAAAGTAAACAATGGAAATGAGTTTTGATCATCAAACCGCTTCGATATGTGTGAAAAAGGCATGCGTCTAAATGATGGAGACAATAGTCGAGAATATTTTGAAAACTTACAGTCGGATGAAAATCGAACAAAAACGATTACTAGTACCCTTTTAAACTTTATCAATTTCTCAAGTAAATGTTGGCTGCATAAAATATAATTTGAAACCAGACACATGCATCACCTATTTTCAAAAATGTCTTTCACTTTAAGAATATAAAACACGAACTGTGTAAAGTACATTTTTACGTTTTTATGCGATAAGTAAAATTCGATCCTCTAAAAAAAGGGACCTGTCTTTTTTTCGATAGTAAATGATAAGCAACTTTATATATTAAATATGAAAAACATATATATTTTTACAGATTCACTTTATGGAAGTAAATATATTGT